GGAGAATGAGCAGTTTTTATGACATGTGTACTCCTTCCCCATATGCTCCCCCGGCGCGTCTGCCATTAGTGTTTAAGTACATGGGGGAAAGCAACTGCCTCATAACAAAAAGAGCCCAGTCTGCACCAGTTCCACCCAAAGGACACAGACAGACTAGTCCCGCTGCGGTGCTGTAGTAGCAGGCAGCATCACGCAGCTCTTATATGGGAAACAAAGACTAACTGAGGTCCTAAGGGAAAGGCACTGCTTTTAACTACTTTAAATCTTCAAAAACTTTTAAAAATCTTTATGGCTTTAACTGAAGCACGTTAATGACTGATGGTGAGAAAAGATGAATTATTCAGGAATGTCACCTCAGGATGTTCCCAATTTTTCATTGAGGTAGGCTGACATAAAGCTATGGGTTACTTGCTCCTCTTACTCCTTTATTCAAGAACAGTCCCAAGGTATAAAGAAAAATGGATCCAGCCTCTCTCAGTTACTTCACCTAAGGCAATCTTCAGGAAAATACTCCGAGAAGTTAGGTAGCTACAGGGCGACGTTGTTGTATAATAATCAACATTGATGGATAGTGATCCAAGAGCATAAGAATGGATCTTAACATCACTCTCCCAAACAAGACTAGATACATACTAATTTTTAAACACACTTAATTACACACAGAGCTTGAAGTACCAGCTCAGAAATTGTTATGGGGAAAAAGCAAAACAAATGCCATTTTCTAATTAACTGAATTTCTTTTCAAATAGGTCACACTTGGGTATATTAGCACCTGGTATGTCATCGCAAAAACGCAAGTAAGAGAAATGAGATATCAAGGCAAATAAGCTCCAGTTCTTCCTTATAAAGACAGCCTGTTGAGACAGAAATCAGGATGAAGACACTGTCACTTCTCCCCAGACTACAAAAATACCACTTTGATATCTGGCACTTAGCTTCACAGGTCTGTACTTGTGACTAGGAAATGCAGATGAACAGTATGATCTTAAGCATATGATACAGAGGGATATGCAGACAAAGAGCAGCCTAGCAGCCTTGAACGGCGTGTTAACCCAAAGGGAAAAGAAAGGGGAAAAAAAAGAATAAAAAGACATATTCACATATTTGAAGAAGTATCACTGGAAAAGATAGCTCACTAAGCATAAACCTTGGACTCGTTTTAGGCACAGTCCAAACAAGGAGTCATCTAAGGTAACAGACTGTAGAAGGCTGAGCAAACCTCTGGCTATCAACACCTACATGCACCATCCCACTCTGGCAACACAAATGGTAGGCGAGACTGAGGTTAGCTCTCCCAGTCCCTTTGGCCTTTCTGTTAAGGCAGAGACTGTGAAGATATTGCAACAAAGAAATTCAATTCGCAATTAAGAATTCTTGAGATGACTCTGCATCCACCCACTGCTACAGATGACCAAAATGCACAGCTATAAGTAAGTACAGATCCATTTAGGACAGCCACAGAATCAAAACAGCTATTATCTCAAGAAACCTCAGTGGCATATATAATAGCAACCCAGAAAAACCTCACTGTTTTCCTCTGTCCAAAATTCAGTAGATGATAAAGCTGACCTGAACAGATTCAGGCTCAAACTAATATTCTCACCCTAGCTTCAAAATCACATCATTAAACTTCCCATCTCTAATTTGTAAAGACCAACGCTCAATAATGACAGCTGGCAACATCTCAACTTATCTGGGAACTGATCTCAGGCGCAAAAGGGTCTGAGAAATCCTGCGGTTTCACTGCAGAGGTGGGGGTCTTTGGGAAGTTCCAGTCTGAATTTAACTTAACAGGACTACGGAAAATTGTTCTTCTCCTTGGTAGAAGTGAGGCAGCTTGCACTGAAAAACAATAATCCCTGACTGCCAAACTTAAGCCATAATAAATCATTTCTGCTGTTGTAAAACAACCACACACACACAAAAAGCGCCTTTGTTTTAAAGAATTTTCCTGTACATAGAATTCCCAGGCTCCCTATCCCAAGCCTCAAGCAGATGATCCTTTGGTCTTGATCAAAGTGAAGGAGTCCAACAGGCTAGACTAAGAGCTTTAAACTCTAGAATACTGATGTGGAGCTTTCATCTAACCACTTAAAAAAACTAGAGCACACAGCAATTGTACCAGCCCACCACCTGGAAATATCACAGAAAATGTTAATGGATCTGAAAGAATTTCCTGATGAACATGTGCTACCTTCCGTTTTTGCATGTTGAATAACCTGAGACATAAATGGCTTAGAAATAAGCATTGTCAAGGGGGTGTGCTTCATTTGTTAAAAAATCTTGCAGAAACTACAGAGGTAACTTGGAAAGAGGTATCTCCTTACAGTGGAAAAATGAACCTGTTTCGGATCAAAAACCAAGTGTCTTAAATTTGAAAGCAAAGTCATAAAGCAGGCTTTCTAAAGGACTGTTAGCTACAAGGAAAAAAAAAATCTCATATCATACAAGCAGTATTGGATTCAATCCCACAGACAGAAAATAAACACAATGTCAACATCACATTTCCAGGTCCTGAATGAAATAACATACACAACGACGTTTCCAGGTACCCACTGTCCTTAAACTCAAAGGAGAATCCCCAAATAAACAGATTCAAATACATTTTCTATGGGCATTTTTACTTCTCAAGTACTTAACTAAGGTAAAAAACTGAAACAGACCACTTGCTCTGACCAAACTGAGGATCAAAGTACAAATCTTTACATCACTGCAACATACTCATCCTGGTGAATATTCTATCAGAAATTCTAAAAGCATCAGAAATCTTGGTCCAGTAGTAACATCGTTCTTGGTATACATCCCAGCAGCGTGCAAATGTATTTTAAATTCTGCACATAAACTTTGTGGGATGTCACTATGAATAAGTTATACATAAGTAAACAAGCTTTCAGATGCAGCAATCAAGCACTGGTAGACAATAGCAGACTAAATTACAGGACTGTTCTTTATGGCCTGTCCTCAGAGATCAACTACTGCCATGGGCAATGATTAGAAATCTTAATTACTTCAATAGCCGATAACTAGCACAGCAGTAAATGAGACTGTTCACTGGTATTAAGAACATGAAACAGTGGAGCCATCACAATCTTCCAAGGATTCGGACCGTCAGACTGGAGGTTTACCTCAGTATTTCAGAACATCTTGTTATGAAAATCCAGCTATAGCTAGGCAGTTTCAAAAACCAAAAGGCACTCAGGTCCTCCTCACAAAGTCAGTCTAGAAAGCAGTAACTAAACTGTTCTCATTGCTATTCACAAAAGGAATAATGAAATTTAGCTAACTTGCTACACTTGTTGCTTTTGCGAGTAAAGCACCTACAGGATAATTTCTGAAGACTGTTTCCACATGACTTCAGATGGGCCAACTCAGTGGGCACCAGAAAATCATTATAACTTTGTGCAATTAAAAAAAATAACAAAATGGTGCTAGATTCTCAGCCAATCTAGGTGGCTGGGAATCTGCAAGCTATTTATGTTAAATAGTGTCATCATATGTGATTCTTCTGGACATGTATCATCAGAAATGGTCTGATACATGCAGTACTATCTCAGAAGATCAAAAATGCGGGATGTGTGACATGAAACTCAACTGACAGTCACAACCCAGGTAATACTGGAACAAGGAATAAAACCCACTACGAAATTCTACTTCAGAGACTATCAGCTGTGCTGATAGAATTGACTTGGCCAACCCAGGAAACAACTGTTCCTGATGTAGGGCATTCAACTACCTGAAGATTTATAAGGTACCAAAATTAATTATGTTTGATCTTAGGTGCCGAGCTTTGTTGACTCATTTGATTCATTTAGCTGGACATACAATTCTGTCATTAAAACTGATTTTATGGCTGTTTATACTGTGCATCAGGTACCTTCAAAGAAGTGGCTTATGGCAAGCTGGGCTAGACACAACATGAGACACAGTTTACAGGCCTCAGATAGGTGTTCATCCACTTCTAGTACATGATACCCCTGCTGACAGCACCCAACCTTGGCATTAAATTCAGGAAACATTCATCTCTTTAAACAAACTGCACTAACTAAATGTGGTTTACCAAGGGTCCCTGCTACTGGATCAATCTGGAATCGTGTGCAGTTTTGGAATGGTAGCAGCAAACACCCCCACCAGCCTTACCACCTCGTCGGTATGTGCCAAAGGCTCAGCATCACATAAGGTCTTCCTAGAGACCTCAGCACTGGGCACAGTCTCCTAAGATGTGCTAGAGCCAGAGACGTTACAGAGTCATTACAAGGGTTTTAGGCTAACAAATCCAGAATTAAATCTTGACTTGCATACTCTTGATATTTTTTGTTAAGACATTTCAAAACACTCAGACATAAAGTATATAATTTCTTCTGTGCTCTTCAACTAAAGAAACTTGCTAATTATAGTGAATTAGTCACTGATGAGGAGAAGAAAAAAAAATCAACAACAACAAATGCTTAAAAGGACATCACGTACAATTATGTTGCTGCACTTTTGGTAGTTAAGGATGAAAACATAGGATGGCTAACTTTTCATTTTATATAGTAGTGTCCTCCAAAAGTAGAGGAAGGCAGAAAAGGAAGTGAACTTTCACATGTAGTAGATTACAGGGAAGCAATACGGATATTCACAAAAATTTTTAAAATTTCTTTTCCAATTAAAGCAAAACTTCCTCAATTGAAATGGAAGAATATGCAGTGGAAGAACACACACTGGGAGATTATGCTCGTTACTTGGAACTTCATTAAGCAAAGAGGTCTACCACAGGTGCTGTCATGGCACACAAACACACACACACACAAAAGACAATTTACTCATGAAATAAGTTGTATATTACAGAATTTGAAATGATTGTGTCTATGCACTTGTATTTTCACACAGCTCCAAGTTTGAAGAAAAAAAAAGCTCAACTTCTCAGCCAGGACTTCTGGCAGGGACCTTAACATGAAATAATGACCTTTATAGATTTCAGTTGTACTTTCCTTTTAAATAAAAGTTTAAAAGATACATACACTTTTGTTTCATAGTCCTTCCAAGCTTTATCAAAGGGTTTTTTCAGGTCCTGTCAAGAAAAAAGAAAAAAATACAGTTAGTTAGTGTGGATCTAACAATGAAGACACACCTTGGCCATTTGCAGCGCCTACTAGAATAAGGGACTCCACTCTTTCTTGAATAGCTCACCTAAGGATTGTGTAAAAGCAATCTTGCACATAGGAAAAACAATCTCATACACAGAATTAATAGACTCGTATTTTCAAAAGCATCTCTAGGATGCTTTTTACAGCTCCATTTTACTCCTTAAAAGGTATAACCACATGTCATCCCAAGAGCACACTATGCAATTAATCAAATCAGCTATTTTCTCATCATTCCATCTCTGGCTCCACTGGAAAGAAGTGCCTGTCCTGAGGCTGTGACATAGCCTTGGTTAAGGACTTGATTCATCCCACTAAAGTTAAAGAAATCAATTTCCCACTGACTTAATGGATACAGTATAAGCCATACGGCTTGACATAACTAATTCTGTGAGAATTTTGAATTACTTATGTTCCAAATTCCTTTATTTTTTCCCTCTGAAGAAGCCAATTTGGATAAAATGATCTTAACAAGTTGTAAAATTATTTCACTGATGTCTAAAAATGCAGCAGTTGAAATTCTGCTGTAGTTTGAGATCAGCCAACTCTGAAAAAAAAATATTGTTAACTGTCAGATGCTGGAAAAACTTTGCAACTACAGATCAGGAACTAATTCTTACATGTCAGCTAGTTATTTCAACAATTATGAAATTAATTAAAGCAGCATTTGATTATTTTCTCAAGCCAGGAAGGTGGGGCAACACTGTATTGTAAATGTATTTATTCTGACATAGAAAAAGAGAAGAACAAGAGTTCACTTCTACAAGTGAAATGTGGTAAACAAGCAACACAAAGATAAAAAGCCTATCTTACTAAGAAATCTCTTTATCCTCCAGTAATTTACAGAGACCATTTTTAGTCTATGTACATTTTTCTTCTTCCTTCGATGTCCTAGAACAATAGCTGCCAGTCACTTCCTGTTTGCTCAGTAGTAAACGAAGTGTAAGCCAAATAAGTTTGCTGGCTATAGGCTTTGAAATTTATTACATACATATCATCATTTGAGTCCTAAGTTATTATTATTTCAAATAGGAAATATCCTCAGGGCACAAATAGATTTCAGCTTTGTTAAGAAAAATCCTATGCTCACGCAGTTTAATGTGTCTTTCTTAACAATCTGTATAATTCTAGGTATGTTTAGAATGCTAAATAAATATATTAATAATAATCCTTTTAAATAAATTACTACCCCCTCCTCAACTAAGTAAATATCTAAATTCTTATACCTCTTTCTCTGCTTATCTTCTATATCTCAGGGTTGCTTTTAAAGCTTCTCAAATGTTGTTTTGTATACATAGTCACCAGCATGCCATATGTGAAACCACAAACAGAAGGGATGACTGAATTCACAAAAAAAAATAAAACACAACAAAAAAACCAAACCCTTTTGTTTATTAAGGTAATACGTTACTTTAATATCCTGTGCCTTCCATCACATAAGGTTAATACACTAGCTAAATGTATTTATTGTACCAACAATAATTTTATATATAAATAAGAAGATAAACATACCCCTTTTACTCCTTTCAGATCTCCCTTCAGCAAACTGTCCAATGGAAAAGTGATTATATTGTTCATATTCTGAATCTGTAATGAGAAAATTACATCAAAACATTTAATGTATTTTAATACAGAACATACACTGTCTCAATTCACACATTTCAGAAAGTTTCACAAGGAAATCTTACATATTATTTTCCTAACCCTGCTTTATGATGATGTTTATCAGTACAGCCAGTAATAAAAAATGGAGGCAACATGAGTTAAACAAACTTACTCTGGAAACACTATAACCCAAGCCAGCAGGAAACCTGCAGAATTACTGCTGATGATAAATATCTCATCCAACAGTGACTGCAAAGTAAGATCACTAATTTTTACATTGCCTGATTTCACTGTTTAACTTGTAAGAAAACAATCATAATATGTAAGTGCTGAAAAATTTTAAGTTCCTCAGTAGATTTTAAATTAATCTTATTTATTTTCCAGTCTCTTCAGACCTATTCCATAAAACGTATCTGCTAGTCTCACAACACATGGCATCTTATTCTGATGTAAGTTATAAAGACAAAGAATGTTGGCCTGTAAAGAAGCCACTATTCAAATCTTCTCCATGTATTTTTAAAAAGTAATACTTCTGCCTTATTTATCTCATACAAACTTTGAAATAAGGATTTTATGAGGTCTTGAGGTATTATGCAAGTAATTCAAGAGTAAACAAGTAATTCAAGAAGAAAAAAAATAATTTCAAATGAAGACAACAGTAAAATAATCATGGTTTTAGATACGTATCTGTATGATAACATTTTGATAAGGAAAAAGAATGAAGAAAGACAGTAGGAATAAGACAGTAGGTAGTATACACCAGGAAAAGACAGACTTCATGTCCAGTCCTTTATGATTCAGGGAAGATGTTCAAGGTATGGGCCATGATGTCTAGGCACAGAGTTTAAACTGTAATAATTCAAATGGATTGCACTGAAGAATAAAAACGAGAGTACTTTAGAACCTCACAATGGGAAAAAAACAGAATAACTTTTGTAGCAGTTTGGTGAAGGTTGCCTTTCAATGGGTTTCTTTTTTTGATGTTATTGTTAGCTGTTCTTTTAAAATATGATTTTTTCAAGAAGCACTGAAATGCATATATGAAGATGGATTCCAAATGTTCAAAGTACAGAAAGAACTTTGCCTCATGTAGCAACAAATGCTTCTGTTTCTTCAGGAACGATGTCAGGAACATCAAAGTCCCTTTTAGCATAACCCATCCAGAGAAGAAAGGACACTAACAGGAACTTCAATATTTCCAATTGTGATGCTTCAGCCTCCCCAGAATGGAAAAATACAAAACATTATCACCCTATAGTTACTTGGTGGCCTCACTAGAAACAGACTCATGGGTCCCATCCCCAGTGGTACTAAACAGCTGCTATTAAAGCAAACGAAGCCCCCAAATCCCCACCCTTCCTCTTCAAAGATACTACCTTACTGTATTTGCTTGAAATTTCAGCCAGCGATCAAAAAGAAGGTGAACATACATCAATTTTAAAGGTTAAACAGATTGCCTCTGCATGGGAAGGTTGAAGAAATATAGAAAATCTGGTCTTTTAAGCTCTTACCACAAATCACATTTCCCCTCCTCCACCCACCCTACTTTTCCTCCTCCCCAAAAAGCTGCAGGACTCAACCACGACCCTTTAGAATCAAGAAGTTAAATTTCAACTCTCTGTGGTTTTTTTTACAATAATTCCTATAAAAACTGAATGATCAACATCTACACATGCTTAGCTGACAGTGCTGGAAACCATCCACCTCATAAGTTCTCAGCAGTACTACAACATCTGTGTATCAACATAACCATGCTCAAAGTTAATAAAATTATATGTTGTAGATATAGGAGATAAGTGAAAAGGTTTAAATCACACAAAACTTCGGTAAAAAAATAAAAACTTCTAGAAGACGACAGATGGAACATGTACACCTATGGACACGCACACCCAGAATGGCTATCCAGGTGGAGAAGCAGGAGAGGTCTCATCTAAGGCATCATCCTATGCAGTTTTCTACCTTGCTGTTCTATTTTATTAGCATGATGCAGTCAAATGTCTAACCTGAAGACCAATACTTTCACAGCCTCTATTTAATTGTTCTTCAAATCCAGATAAATAGGCACAAAGCAAGAATAAAGCATTTCTCAACAGCAGACTCAAGACAACTGTTTTTTCCTTAAGTCAGAAAAGAAATAAATGTCAGACCCTGAAGTATTATCCCAGACATATTCATGTAAACATCAATCAGCCTCCAAAACACTTCTGGACGTTTCCTAGAATTTCAAGTCATGGGGCCTGAAGTCCAAAGCAACTTTAAAAAAAGAATAGGAGAAAAAACTCAACATTGTTTTTAAAACTTTGGAGAATATTTGCCTATTCAAATTAACTTCTTCTGTGTGCTATCACTTGTGTATTACTATCAGTCTATGGTATTCCCTATACTCCTATTTTATTTGCAATAAATATAAACATACATAATGCATTAACTTGTCATTATTAACCTAGTTAGATGACTCATACTTGATCATATTTATAAATCAGCAAGCAATATACAGAAAAAAATCTTACATGGTTTTCCCCTCTTTCTTGAGAAGCTTAAGCTGAACTATCTAAAAATATAGACCCATTTTTGGCACTCAGAGAAGCATTAATATGCTGCAGCTCCAGCTCTGTGTGTATACAGGGAGCTAAAATGTATACAACTGCCTCTACATTTTGACTATTTTATGTTTTAAAATATTCTTTAAGAAGAAACATGCACAAAGGTGCAGGAAAGCTTCACAGAAATTAAAGTCATAATGTGTCAGAGGAACACTAGCAAGTTCCATGTGTTTTAAAAAAAAGAAAGAAAAAAAAATAGTTGACCTGGTTTCCACTTCCAACACTGCTGCTTTGGCAGACTCGCAGTTTTGCTCTGACAGCTTCCAACAAGATAAGATGACAGAGACAGGGTAATAAATTAAAACTTCCTAAGCTGGAGAAGGCTCAGAGGAGGAGAAGAAGAAATGGCAAGAGGAAGAACGTAAAAATAAACAAACATGTAGCTGCCAGAAATGACGGTAGAGGCAACAGGCAAGCCAACATTTGCGAAGGGGAAAGAAGATTTCCAAGTAGCTTAAGAGCCTATGGCTAAACACTGAAGTTCTTCATTTGCCAGCCCTCCTGGTTACTTTAATGAGTCTTTTCCAGAACAGCTCTGGATACTGGTGCCTGCAGTACTTCAATAGGTTCTGTTTTCTAAATCCAAGCCAAAAAAAAGAAAAGTCTTTTCACTACTTCAGAAGTTAAATACTTTTCTTAACATGCAGATGAACAGAGAAGACCTTAAAACATCTTCAATTTAAACTAAAACTCAGGCAGCCAAACAGTGTATGATATGACTCCTACCGCCATTACTAAATTCTAGATGCAGTCCACGTACTCGGCTGTGGGCTTCCAGTTGGCTGGATGGTCGCATCCAGAGGGCTCGATGCCCAGATGGAGATCAGTGACAAGTGGTGTCCCTCAGGGGTCCGTACTGGGGCCTGTGCTGTTCAATATCTTCATCACTGACACAGACAGTGGGATCGAGTGCACCCTCAGCAAGTTTGCAGACGACACCAAGCTGAGTGGTGCAGTTGACACGCCTGAGGGACGGGATGCCATCCAGAGGGACCT